GATGCCCTTCAGGGATATAATCGGGATTTCGTCGCTGAATTGGTTGTATCCCACTTTGGGTCGCTCGTCTTCGTCTCTGATGAAACTCTCCCGCAGCGCCGTCTCCTCCCCCAGAGCCGTTAACGTCGACACTGCTGCTGCCATTTCCCTATGTTTTTACTGTCTTGTTTTTTATGTTTTTTTTTCCCAAGGAACTCAGCAGAAGTCGATCTGTGTCTTGATGTATAAATAAATCCTACTCCCCTCCCGCTATATTTGTCCACTTTTGACTTTTGGAACTGTTCATCTAAACACTTTGACTTATCAAATTCTCTTAATGTGTAAGCCTAAATATAGTCATGTGTGATCTTGTTTGATTTGTCTTAACATATAGATTATTAATATATTTCTATAATTTTTTAATATACAAATTACAAGATAAAATGGATTAAAGAAGTGTATTGAATGGTGTGTAAAAATGAAAGTGGACAAATATGGAGTAAACAAAAGGTAGAAAGGTAAATAAAAGTGGTAATTAATGGTCTCCGGAAGTGGTTGGTAGTAATCTTAAACGCCGAGGGTGACACGTGGCAGCTCCGCTCGCCGTTCGTCTCAACTACTACTTCCCTCCTCCATTCCTAAAAAAGTAGGTGTGGCTATATGGGCATGGACCGGGGGAGGGTTCAGGAATACGGACTACTCTTATTTTTAAAATTCGGTATCAATAATATAAGATTAACAGCAAAGCCATTCACTATGGTTCTATTTTGGAACGGAGCACTACAATATCAAAAAGTTTAACATTCATATTTCAAGTAATAATACGGAGTATAAGAGAAGCACAATTTTGTTTAAAAAGCATAAATTTGTTAAAAACGTGATTACTTTGATTTTACAAAGATCATAAACATAAAACTATAGATAACGAGTCTAAATTTAAAAATAATGATTTTTTAAATCCATACACTATCGAACTATTAATGACAATGATAATAATAATAATAATAATAATAATAATAATAATAATAATAATAAAGAATAATACATTATGAAGAACTATATATATGTCAAGATGAAATAGATAAATAAGTACTTTTCGTAAATAGATTTCAACGATTTGGTCTGTGATAGTCGATTTTAAATTTGTATATTATGGTTTCGTCTCGTTTGATATCGATACCAATTATGATTGTGTGAATAATGAAAAAACCAATGAAAAAATCAACTTAAACGAGGAAGTATATAATTAATGTAAAACTAGAGTTCTAAGTCTTTTAAGATCAAAATAGAACGATAATAACAGTGTGCTGTAAGAATACGCATTAGCAATGTAATGGAAAAGTAATGACAATGTAATATGTTAATGTGACAACTGACAAGTCAATAATCGGCGATCTTTGACATCACTCGAGTAACCGGCGGCGACGGATGAGAGTCTAGTAATAATAATGTAACAATTACAATGTAACAAAGTGATAAGTGAGAGATTATAATATTGACACTCAATCCCTAATTAACTGAAACCGGCATGACAGCATGCTTCGCATTTCATGGCCCCTATTATTTATGTCTATGTATTATGTGCCAGCTGGTATTTCAATTTTGCAACTTGTGCAGATTCCTCTAATCTCCTCGTCTGTTTTCATTACCCCTATTAGTAAATACGGACTTCGCAATTAATCTTTCAAGATGACTTTTTTTATGTACTCTTCCGTCCCAAATTATAATGCATGTTCACTATTTACAGGATCAAATTTCACTCACTTTCTTTCTCTATTTTTGTTTGGGAGAAAGACCAAAGTAGGACTAAAACATTGAAAATATACCAAAATAGGACTTCCATGTTTTTATTCCCGAAATAGGACTTACATTACCATACATGGTCATATACATTACCAAAAACGTATAGTAATTTTCACATGTACACTGCCACATTACCACAAGGCAAAGCCACATTAGCATAGTGCAAAGTTCTATTTCGGGAAAAAAACATGAAAGTCCTATTTTGGTACTATTTAGGGTGAATTCTATTTTTGTTAGCAATTTGATAAAATAAAATATTATTGTCACTACTAGTTTTGTAGATTTTTTGATCTAGTTTTTTAATATGTACTCCCTCCGTCCCGTTATATTCGTCCACTTTTGACTTTTAGAACTGTTCATCTAAGTACTTTGACTCATCAAATTCTCTGAATGTGTAAGCCTAAATATAGTCATGTGTGATCATGTTTGATTTGTCTTAACATATAGATTATAAAATGGGACGGAGGTAGTATAAGTTATGACACGGTTCTGTTAACACTCGCTAATGGTAACACTAACATTATCATTGTATTTTTGAAGCACTACAAGTGCTATAATCGAAAAATTAATGGTTTCATTCCGCTAACCCCTTAAACCTAGCTCCACCATAGCATCACCTCTATCCTCCCACCCAGCCCCGTCCTAACCTCCCTCCAAATGTGTGGTTATTATGCAATGCATAATAGCCACACATTTTGAGGGAGGTTTAGGATGGGGCTGCAGGGTGAAAGGGTACGGGGGGAGGGGTAAGGGGTATGTTAGAGAGAATATGAATCATCAATTTTCTGACCGCAGATGCTCCAAAACACAGTGGCATCGCTAGTATCAGCGTTGGCTAGCGTCAACAGAACCCCACTCCATTAAGTTATTTATAATTTTCTTTAGATAAAATAAATAATATACTTTCTTTTTTCCTTAAACTACTACTCCGTATATTTATATTTTTTTACATGTGTTATATATTTTAATATAATTAGAATAAGTATTTGACCAATGATATCATAATAATCATAAAAAAATTTGATGGTGCGGAGTGCACGCTTTGTTAAATCTATTATGATGAAAGTCTCGTTTTAATGGGGGTTACAAGGGGGCAACAGTAACACTGGGGTTCGAGGGCAGCACCGTTGAGAGCGGGGTTCAAGGGGCGGCAGCTTCTGCTGGGTCCAAGGGGCAGAGCCCCTACCTGGGGTCGAGATGCTAAAAATTCACTTGAAGTTTTAATTTTTTGAATATGGTATAAAAGAATTTCCAAAAAATGCCTTTTCTAATTTTTGCGCGACTAGACGCGAGCTTTAGAAGATACACGCGACCACATCTCTCCTCCCTCTCTGCTTTTATATATAAGTCCCCGGCAATGCTTTGTCAAAAAATACAGGAGTTTGAATATTCATCATATATACTCCCTCCGTTCCAAAAAGATTGGTACATATTGACTTTTTGAGAAATTAAGGGAGAGATATTTTGGTGTTGACTTTTCAAAAATACCCTTGATGTGATGGGTAAAAGTAGGATGTGATGGTAGATTATTAGGAAAAAGTTATGATGTGATAGGTAGGGTATGAAAAAGTAAGGGGTAAAAGTGGTTTTTTAATAGAAATGTAACGGACTTTACGGGACGCAGTTTTTTCGAAACGTGTTGGACTTTTTGGGACGGAGGGAGTACTTGTTATTGATCAATAATTTCAGTTTTATCCGTTTGATATTGAAGTGAACGTCCAAATAACCAATCTGAAAGTGTTATCACGACTCTCAAATAAATTCGTGTTATCTACGATTTTTCCAACAACATGTAGTATTTTTAAATATAGTAAGTCAGAGTATGACATAGAAAACTAGAATAAACACTAAAAAACGAAAAAACGAGAAAAATAATTTTTTTTGTTTGTAAAAAGTTTGGCAAGTTCTTTCGTGATTCCAAAATCCATGCTCATTTTATGGACATTAGTACATAAACACTATGAAGAGTCGTGTCTTTAACAAAATAGAAAAAAATTACTTGCAAACGTATAAAGATGTGAAAAAATCAATAATATTTTACATGTCAATCTTAAGACCACAAAATCCTAACAAAATCCTAACTCAAAAACGTTTACGTCGGTGACAGACTCATAGTCCTTCACCAATATATACTACTGAACTATTCTTGTTTATATTGAGGGCCGGCCCTTGGGATAGGACAGAGGAGCAGCCACCTAGAACTCATCATCAAAAGGGGTCACAATTTCTTTTCCAATTATACGTTGTTTTGTGTGAAAAATACTCCAATATATGCTAAAGAAGTGAAACAATATTCTTTAATTTAATAGGAAAAAAATGCTAAAGAAATGAAACAATTATTTTAGAATAGATTGAAGAAGAAAGAATGACGGTTAATTCGGGATGGATAGAATATACTCCATCCGTCCCAAATTATTTGCAACATTTGCTTTTTCAGCAGTCGCGGGAACTTTTATTTACTTCTACGGTTTGATTGGTTATTTGATAAAATAAAATATTCTTGACATCTCTTATTTCGAAGAATTTTTCATGTAGTTTTTTGATATGTAAATTTTAGTTTTTATTTCTATACCAATATGTAAATAAAATGAATTGAAAAAACTTGATATTTTGCCTCGGGAATACAAGTGGCAAATATTTAGGGACGAAGGGAGTATTACAAGCGCAAATATATAAGAAGTGCTCGTACTATAATACAAGTTTTTATTACGTAGTCTAAGTTATCATTTATTTAATTAATTAATTATTGACCTTATAACTACCCTAAATGTTTAATTGTTAATTATTTGATAGATGTACTTATAAATTATCCTTACGACTCAATTAAAGTTTCTTCTTGGATGTAAATAAGGAATTGATATTGGTACACCAAAAATTGTACCCCACTTTATACCGCATGCATCAACATTTTGTGATAGTGTGAATCTTTAAACTGATACAAAATGTTAGTATAATATTTTAATGAACTAACATTTTATAAAAGTGGGAATCATTAAAATACTAATCCATCCTTTTGGGATAGAGTACAAAACAAATTTCTTAATTTAACAAATGTGGAAGCCACTAGCTAGCTCCCATCGATCTTGCAAGCAAGCAGCTTTAATTTGCCAGCTATACATACGTCGTCCTCTTCTAGCTAGCTAGCTGACCATCCATGTGTGGAAAAGCCCAAAAGCCCTCTCCAACCCATTGACTACTTTCTTTCACTATAAATTGCTGGCTACATATATTTAATTTCTCTCTTATTATAGCTAGCGCTCATCATCAGCCAGCCAAACATGGCATACTCTCCCCCCCTGCAACCACTTGCTCTGCCTTCTTTCATTCTCATTCTCTTCTTCCTCGCCCGTTTCTCCAATGCCCAAAATTATGATGAGTATCTGCAGGTATATATATATATATATATATATATATATATATATATATATATATATATATATATATATATATATATATATATATATATAATATTCCCTACAACTCGATCTGTATATATATATATAAACATCACTTTTATCACCTTATTATTTAATTATCTCATGCTACGTTTGTGATATTTGAACCGAATTATTACTTCTTTTATCTAATTTATTTATTTAAATTTTTTTTTGCCTAAAAACGTTTAAAATCTTATTTCTGTTTTTAATTAGTTTAGCCACTTTAACCCATGTTTCTGGCACAGGTGGACATGACCAACAATCCTCCAGCAAGCAGCCCTCTACCTCCAGCAATCGGTATTTTTTTAAACTTTTTACCTAGTACTTTATTTATATAAAATTACATGATTAAAAAAGAGGAGGTTCCAATGACATTAACCCCCCATGTCATCCTATGACGTGGGTCCTGTTTGGAGTCTATACGATGATTCGTTTAAAAAATTGATGGTTCTTGGTAAATCTTCACTCGTCTTGACCCGAACTCACCCCTCCCCCGTTAATTGCACCCAACAAGATGTAGTTGACTTTGAAGTCAAAATTTAACTCCAAAGTCAATTACATCTTGTGGATACAATTGACGGGGGAGGGGGTGGGTTCGGGTCAAGATGAGGTGGGAGGTTTACTTGGAGGTAATTAAGAGGGGATATGAATCATCAATTTTTTTAGATGAGGCACTCTTGGGACTTCAGGACATCGATTTTTAATGTCATTGAGAATCGTGGTGGATTAAAAATGATGCATGGAAAGTTATCTAATTACTTGTATTTGGTTAGGTTCTTTTGATATTGATAAACAATGTCATATTATGACATCGGTTTAATTAAGACACTTTTAGTGCGTGCTTTGCTTAAAAAAATTAATGGTTCCTATTCTTTAAACCTCTAGCTCGGCCCGTTCCTAACGGACCACTACACTTCTCGAATTACAATTTCCAAAATTTGTTGGTTTTGGAGTCAAAATTGGACACTGGACTAGGGAATAAAAATCATTGATTTTAGGAAGGACCGATGTCATATTATAACACTCAATGGTACTATGCATTGTAATGAGAAATTAATGCNGATGGAGCTTGTGGCGTAAGGTGCGGAAAGTCAAAGAGACCAAACCTGTGCAAGAGGGCTTGCGGGAGCTGCTGCGCCACGTGTCACTGCGTGCCACCTGGAACTTCTGGAAATTACGAGTCTTGCCCCTGCTATTCCACTCTCACAACCCACAACAACGTCCGTAAATGCCCTTAATTAATAATTACTGTGTTGTTTTACTACGCGGTAATTGTCGTCCCGCCAATTCTGAAGCATGCACCCAGCAGTACTCTAAGAAGAATGAATGAATGAATGATGTTTATTTTTTGTTTTTGTTTTCAGTAATTGTATGCGCTGTTGATGATAATGATTAAGAGAAGTGAGAATCACAACTAGAAATGCTAAAATAAATCACAAACATATGAGTCACAAACTACGTACACAATTAAACTTGTAATTTGTACATGAAAAATACTTTACATGTATTAAAATATTATTTTAACATTATTTTAATATTTTGTAAATGAAAAATACTTTAAATGTTTTATTTTTAATATTTTTTTTAAAAATATTTTAAGAGATATTATTGGTCAAATTTTAATTTCGAAAAGCAAATCAAACACTTAAATATGAATGAAGGGAGTTTGATATATGCAGGGTTAGCACGTTGATTTACATCTCCTTTCGATTGTGGAAGTATTCATTGTTGTGTTGTTTGTTTAAACAGTGTGATGTGAATGAGATTAATCATATTCTTTTGGGGCACGAAATTAGGATTCAAATTCTACGAAAATGTATTCAATGATCAAATTCTTTGTGGCCAAATTGGTGCGATACCCCAAATAAAATTTGTACTAAATAGGACTAAAATATAAGTCATTTTCCAATGTAGGACTTAAAACTTTTTTATTTTCTAAATAGGACTTAATAATGTCTAGTGGGAGGAATAATGTCCAGTAGACATTTAGTTGAATAATGACCAAAAGTCCTACATTGGGAAATAAAAACATATGGTCATATATTCAGAAAGTCATTATGCTTTAATTTTATTTAGGTAAATTTTTCATACCCCAAATGGTTTGTTAAATAAGCACCGATATCGTATCTCTTTTTAAAACTTAATTAAAAAAAATCCTCGTGATTTAACACCTTATACCCACACCCCCACTAATTATTTCCGACCATTTTTCCGGCAAAGATGAGAGCATTAGCCCCTGTTCTCCAAACCCTTTGGGGCGCCGATACTCATTTCTAGTTTTCCTTTTATTTTTTTCCTTTTTCTCCTTTTTCTCCATTTGTTTCTTTAGTTTTTCTTAAAAAATTATTTTCATAATGTTCATAAAATTTAAAATTATCTCTGTTTGAAATAAAATATTTCGTATAATTAACATATACTGTATCTTTTTTATTGTTTGTTTTGCAAAATTTAAAAGTAAAACTTTTTTGGATTTTAAAAAAGAGGAATAACATTGAAAATAAAATAAAAGAAAAAATTAAAATGAATATTGTTGTTTGGACATCCCAATCCAAAGGACTTTTTAGATGTTTCGAAAATTCTTTTTTTTTGTATAAGAGTACTTTTTGTATGTTTCAATTTTTTCATTTTGTTTTTCCATATTTTTATTTTTTATTCCGAATTTTCCTTTTTGAACTTCCTTTTTATTCTAGAAAAAAATTAAAAATATTTAATTTGAGATAGATGGGGAAAATGGCGGGTTTTTAATTTTTTTTGCTTTTGTTTGAAACACAAATAATTTTTAATTTTTAAAAACAATATAAAAAAATTAGAAAAGAAAATAAAAACCTTTCAAAGAAAAGGAAACAAAGAGATAAAAAATAGAGTTAAAAAAAGAAAAAAACCAGAAAAACAAAAGAATAAGAAATGAACTAAGTTGTCCCATGTGGTTTGAAAAAATAAGCACTAATGCTCCCTTTTTGCTAGAAGATGACCGGAAAATGATCAAGTGGTGTGGGTGTAACATTTTAAAAACAATAAGAATTTTAGAAATAAGTTTTAAAAACATAGGGGTATTGATGCATATTGTTCAAACCACTAGGGGTACGTGATTAATTTGGCCATTTTTTGTTTGGTATAATCAAGGACTTGGCATTGAATTCAATTCTAAATTTAGAATTTCAAATTCTTTTCTTATGTTATAGATTTTAAAAAGTGAAATTGAAAAAATTCGGAATTAGAATTCAATTTCAAATCCACATATTTCTATGTTATCAAAAAGCATATAGAATTAGAATTGAAGCCGATCATTATAATTTCATAAATTCCGTATACCAAACAGAGCTTCAATGTTTTTTGGATGGATGGTTGGTATTGGCAAAAGGCCGTTGATGGAGACGATACCATTAAGATCGGATATAGACGGTTTTTGAGAGAAACGACTCATGTTCTCAGTTTTTCTAATTGGGGAAGGCTTTGGAAGATTAGGTAGCACCTAAAGCAAAAGTGTGAAAATATGTGGCTCAATTTGAGAAAAACTCTAATACTCCCTCCGTTCCACAAAACACTTCCATTTTAATTTTTTGCGCAGCCCATAAAATACTTCTATCCCACCTAAAATGTCTAAAATATCCCTAAAACAACTTCTACCCGCAATAAACTACATAGTGGGGTATATTTTAGATATTTTAAATGGGAGTAAAAGCCTATAATGAGGTGCGCAAAAATTTAGGACGGAAGGGTTTTAAGGAACGGAGGGAGTACTACACATAAAACTTAATCCAAGAAATGGAGGAGAGTCACTGTTTAAACATTTTCGAAGGATGATTCTCCTGCATTTTGTTCTAATTTGTGTTCTTTTATTGCTGATTGTAAGGCCACATTTATAACTTTAATTAGTAGCTTTAGTTTTGACTTGTTAATGAATTGTAGTTTGGTAAAAAAAAAGTCTTGAACAGAATTAAATCCATCTAAATCAAATTTATTTATTATATACTCTTTTTGTCTCGTATAACTTATCTGACTTTAATTTTTAATTTACAAAACATTGAAATGCAAAAAATATTCTTCATATATTTTCAATTTATAAAAAATGGAACGTTCTTTTAGACAAAAAAAAAAAAAATACTCCGTAAAAGGGTCCAAAAAGGCAAAAACGGAATGGCGTTGTTTCCTAATGGCGAATGTAAGCCCAAACACAATGAACTTCCCAACGGCTACTTAAGACGACTTCCTTTCACGCTCCAACGGTCATCTTTTATCCCTTCTCCCCCCCGTTCCATTCCTTCCCATTATTCTCTTCTGGACTATAAAACACCTTTTATCCCCTTCTCCCCTGTTCATATTATTATATATATATCTCTCTCTCTCTCTCCTTCTGTTCATCATCAGCAGCAGCAGCAGCCATTTTCTTGATTTGGGAATCTTCAATGGAGACGCCATCTTCAACTAGATCACACCCATCGTTTGCCGCTTCAAGTCAGTCATCATATCATTTCTTTTGATCCCAGAACTTATTTTCCATCAAATTCAATTTACTGATCGAAAAATCTCTTTTTTATCTTGTAATTTCATTTGTGGAAGGAATTGCAGAGAGATTCGAAGACTCGGAGAAGAAAGGTGGGAACCCAAGAAACGGGCACGAACACGAAAGATCGGCACTTTTTGATATTACGAACGATTCTCCCATTGTGGGGTTGGCTATGGGGAGTCTGGAGACGCCCACGCCAAGAAAGAGAGCAGTCAAAATCCATTCTCAGTCGAAGCAGATGGGCAGAACAACCCCTGGGTCCGGGGAGACATTGTTGAGGGGACAAGTCAAGAACTTGTTGCAGAAGGTTGAGGAAGAAGAAGGAGAACACCTCTCTAAACTCGCTGCCAATCGCTATTCTCCGACCCAGCAGGTAAATTCATCATCTTCTTCTTCGCCTTTTGGAGAAGAAAGATATTAAATTGGATTTTTCTTGTCTTTTTCAGTTGACATTTGAGTGCAAGAAAGACGACGAAGAAGAAGAAATTGAAACAGGGATAGACATGGGGGTCAAAAGGTCTCTGTTCTTGGACTTTTCGGAGAAATTGGATTCGTATGAATACATGGAGAATGGTGATGATGATGATGATGATAATGGCGGAAGATCGGTTGAAGAACTGTGTGAAGGAATGGGGAAGATGAGTGTGAGGGGAGGGAGGAGGGCAAAATGGTCCGGAAAGCACACGCGGTTTGTGTACGACAGCGACGGCGAGCTAGAGGGAGTGGCGGAGGTGGTGGCAGACACGGCGGCGGAAGGAGGAGCCGCGAAGGAGATTTATTGCATTTGAAGGGTTTTTTTGGCAACACAAAAGGGAACGCATCTCCGTTTCCAGGAAGATGTCAACTGATCCCAACCTAATCAAGGTTGTTTTGGTCATTTTTCATGTTAGGTTGGTTTTCAGCTTAACACCTAATTTGCTTTTATTTTTGATTAATATCCACTCAAATTTTATGACTTAAAGAAAATGTTTGTTTTATGTGCTTCAATCCTGCAAAAAAGTTTTTTTTAATTGTCTAGTTGCTATTTCATTTAGGGGGGAGAAATGTTTTTCTTTGAACATCAAATTTTAGTGTTAAAAAAGAATGAAAATTTAACACTCTCTACCTTTTGTTTATTTTGTACATTTTGATAAAATAAAATAAATTATTCTTGTCATATCTCGTTTTACATCATCTAACAAATATTTTCTTTAACAAATATAAAAATACCTCCGTAACCCACATTTCTTCCTCTTTGGAAATCAATAGAATTCTTAGAAATGGATCATATTGTTCCATACTGGATTTTTAACAAGCTATCAAACTTGATTCAATAAGTACATCAAATATTAATCAGACTCTACAGTGGAGTCCAATTAAAACTGAATGTAATATTCACGTGGTTCAATCCTTAACTCTAAATCTTAAGCCTTAAACCTCAATTTTAGGTTGTACTATTCAAACTCATTTATTCTATTTCTTTTCAAATTAAGTTGCTAGTTTACTATGTATATATCAACTATATTCACTCTCTTTCTCTATTTTGGTTAGTCATTTGATAAAATAATATAGTCATATTACCACAAGTAGAACTTTTTCTTAAACTTTCTAATAAAGGACTTAAATCACATTAAATAAGTATAATTCCTATTTTAATCTCTTTATATTACTCATTTTACTACGGAAAATATTATTGGTCTAAATGTCATCGGGAAAACAAAAAATATTCAAACAATGTTCAGAAAATTGTTAGTAAAAAATGACGATATAAATCTGTTGAGTCGTTACGGAGTCGAACACTTACGAGCCTCACCAGCAACAGCTGAACGCCTAATAATATATGACTCCTGTCCCATATTAAAAGAAAAGTATAATAGTGCAGAAGAAAAGTCATATGAATCACACAATTCTTTTCATGTGAAAATAATGTAGTACATATTTAAAGGAAAAGTATAATAGTTTCGAAGAAAAGTACGTAGTAATATGAATCACACAATTCTTTTCATGTGAAAATAATGTAGTAGTACATTTTTAACGGAAAAGTATAATTGTATGGAAGAAAAGTAATATGAATCACACAATTCTTTCCTCCAAAAAGATAAATAAATTAAAAGATCATTAGTTTGTGCTAAGAAAAGAGCTCAAAATGGGACAAACCTAAAGAAGTGCCAAAATGTTAACCTCAGAAACCTGTTTGGCAGTTCTACCATTTAATTTCAAGAGGCATTAACATATTACATATATAGGCAGTTATGGTTTCTGCTGCTCCCACTGAAAATAAACAAAAGAGCACAATCGCTCAATCGGCGGTTGTCTCTACTTCAAACTTAATTTTATTCACACGCAAATAGATATACATATATACATACGCAGCGGGAGAGAGCTCGGAAGCTCCCAGAAACCCTCACAGACACTACTTCTGTGAGACTTTACTGGGTTTGTTCTCTAATACAGGGCAGTATGGATCAGTTTTACCCTCTCTACACAGAGATGGAAGCAGAGTAGGGAAGTACGCACACACGGTGAGTGCAAAAAAAGAGAATCAAAACCAGGGATGCCAAGTCGGGTCCATCATGCACAAATTCCTCGGAGTAAGGGCAGCTTCGACCAATTCAGCCACTCCCCTCTGCACAGATTGTGGAGGATCCATCGCGTTCTCATCCTGATGTTAGAGATAACAACATATCAGCACCACTTTTTTTTTCTTCTTTTTGCTTTTTTAAACCATGCATGAATGACCAGAGAAGAACGTGCTACTGTTCAGTACTACAAGTTCAAGACATAACTACTAAATAGCAAGGAAACAGAGACGCGTACCTCTTCAGAGATGAACTGTGGTGCTATTTCGTTGACCCGGCCAATTACATGCTCAACATTTGTAGTTATCTTTTGTTTGAGCTCAACAGGGGTCAAATTGCCTGCAGTGGTGACAACAGGACCACCTCCCATCCCTATGGGTCTTCTCCACGACCAAGATACAAGCTCATCACGGAAAAACATCGCCAAGTGGTACCATAGATGCTGGATTTGCTGCGAGTGGAGATTTCATATTTAATTATAGGTCATCCAAAAATAGACCTGATACATCCTCATTTACACTCACTGTGGTCCAAGAATTACTTTGTACTTAATTTAATCCATGATTGTGCAATTTGGAAGCAATTTATTCCTCAATCCTTCCATCTCACCATCTCATTATAAGGTTCCACTAATGGTTTACTATGTTTGTTTGAAGTAATCTTCAATTTGTTTATTTGAAAATTGGAGTAGACTTTAAAAAATAAAATTTAAATTTAAAACTACATCAAAAGTTTTATAAAACACATGAGGTGGTTTGACTGTTTGAAAATTTCATTTTACCAAATGATTGATGAAAAAAATGCTAGAAAAGAAGATTTGGTTTGACCTCAATGGAACCTTATTCTGAGACGGATGGAATACATAATTGGCTGCTATATATTAGCAGGAAAAATTTCATTCACTTAGGCCGAATTTTACTTCAATTTTGTATTTAACTATGCATAAATTGGATCTGATCCTAAAAACCCTTCTTAAATACAGAGAAATATGCATGAGTATTAATTTGGGTCCATATTGCATAGTCAAGAACCAAATCGAGAAGCAAAAAACAGAACATTCAATCTTACTTTAGGGGAAACCACAGCTTGTGCTGTCGCGCACATAGAAGAAACGATGAGTCCTTCCACTCCAAAATGGGAGAAAAATGATTGCAAGTTCCTCGTCAAGCGGAAGGGCACAGGTTCATTGTATTCAATCATTCCATTTGCATCATACGTAGGATGGAAATCAGTCTGGAATATCTTCCCTGTGTTTTTGGCAAACAATATCTTGTTGGGGGACCGGCCTCCAATTTGGAGCATGAATGACATGAAGCTTGAGATTGCCAACTGAATGGCAAACTGCTTTTTGAATGTCCACATATGATTTCCGCTCAAGAGGGTTTTGTACATATACTGCGAAAATATAGTGTCATCCACTAACGTCTTTGCAATGTCACTATATGCTTGAAGCCGAAGGTCAACAACAGCTTCTGCTGGCATTTGCCCAGATATTGCTTGGTTAAGCTGCTCCTTGAAATATGTTACCGGTTGGTCTGCCTCCCGAGCATTTCTAGCACAGTGGTTCTCATATACCTCAAGGAGTGTGTTATACATCAAATCATCTTCCACCATGCGGACCTGCTCAAATAATTTGTACAGAAATTAGTTTTGATGACACTATTTTGTGACTCAAGAGTAGTAATTGGGATGAAGCATCTCAAGTTACCTGCGACCACACAGGTATGATGATTGGTGTGTGAATACATATGTGTCTCTTTCTGGATTCCTTATGCTTGTCAAACATTCTGTTCATAACTCGGAAAAGTTGCAAGATCCGTTCATCACTTCTAGCATTTGGTGTCAATGATGTCTGGACGATAAAATGACGTTGTGAACCATCAGACCCAATCAGTGTCAAACGTCGGAAACTGCTTCCATGCCTCCTAACAATTTGAACATCAGATCCCACCCTGTCCAACTTCACTGTATGATCAGGTGCTACTTCCTGTAAAAGAAACAAGGTTAGAAACAGGTGTAAAAAAATAATCCAACTGTAAAATATTATTCATGATGGAAAGAATGAAGGGAAAATCTAAGCAATAAGATAAAATTACTCTCGTCTTAGTATTCTATTTTGGACGCTACAAACACTTCTACAGAAGTGTTGGAACTAAAATTTGAAAAGAACTTTCCAAATTAGCCTCTACACTCTAGAATATGAAACCGTCACCTTAGTTGCATTGGGATGGGTACGGGTGCATATACCGGGACGGGATCGAAAACGACATTTTTAAAAATTACAGGATGCGAGTATAGCAAGAATACAGGAAAAATAATACTCCGTAATAAAACCATAAAAATAAAGCCCTAAATATAAAAAGCAAAGCTTAATTAGCACATAACATTTGAACAATCCAATGAGGTACATCATACATGTGCCATTGAATTGTCAAGTTTCTCCTTCCCTCATTTTTCTTTAATTTGGTGACATAATGCTACAATGGCAATGCGTTATTATTATTAATTTTAGAACTATTATCACCTTCTTGTTGAGAATTCATATGGAGTAGTATTTAGCCAGAGAACTATTCAAAATTTAACTAAAAAAAATTCAAACCTGTAATCTTTACACTTACATTGTTAAATGTAAATATTTTAATCATAGATTATAACAACAAATAACACGACAAATACTCCAAAATTTTTAAAATATTTTTAAAACTTTGTACTAAAGATGCACATGGTTGTCCTTTTCGTCTAAAGCCAATGGCCCCAATCGAGTCTAGACTCTAGAGTTGAAATGAAGCAGACACATTCCGGCTGATATAAATCTGAAGTCCCTCCCTCGCGTTGCATATATAGAATATCAAAGTATTCCTAAATTACAGCGCTAACCCTAATTCTTTATACTCAGTAGTTAATACGTTAAAAATTTAAAAAAAATATGATTAGGTGGGGCGGAGTGTTTGGCGGTTAAGAAGACTCATGTGCGTCGTCTGCATGCGGCGGGTCGTCTGCATGCGGCGGAGATGCGGATGTTACGATGGATGTGTGGGAAGACAAGGTTGGATAGGATTTCGAACGAAGTTATCCGACGTCAAGTGGGCATGGCGCCGGTGGAAGATAAGTTGCGGGAAGTCATGTGAGACGGCGGGATGCTGACGCCCCTGTACGGAGATGCGAGAGGATTACGGTTATCGGGGAAAGTAGGGGAAGGGGTAGACCTAAGAAGAATTGGAGGGAGGTGATTAGGCAGGATTTAGGAATCCTCACCCTGACTGAGGATATGGCCTTAGATAGGAACCTTTGGAGAACTAGGATTTCAGTAGCTGGATAGGAGCTCGGTGTTGTAGAGGTTGTTTGTAGTATGTTGTGTTTGTTTGGAATCTTTTGCTATTGCTTGTACTTGTTGCTTGTACTTGGCTCTTTACCCGTGTTATACTGTGTTCCCTTCCATATTTTTGTGCAGGTTGAGCCGGGGGTCTCTTGGAAACAGCCTCCCTACTTCCGAGTAGGGGTAGGGGCAAGGTCTGCTGTAGTGGGATTCAACTGGGTTGTTGTTGTTGGTTTTGTTATGATTAGGTGGGGCGCGGGTCGTCTGGTCGCAATCCCGGCCGGAACCGGGTACACTCCCTTATTCTGATTTCAAAGCGGCAGAGGGTACCGTCGAATCCATACCATCCAAGGTGGTTGCGGGTCATCTCCAACCGTCCCCAAAACTATTAATACTTCCTCGTTTAAAAAATGCAACATGAAGATGGGTGCAAAAGAAATAAGAGGTGTCATTTAGTATTGCTGTATGATTACAAGGAGAGAAAACAGCTACAATTGAACAACAGTTACGTGAGCACTCCACTGTCAACAGAGCTAAAAGAGTCATTTTTTACAGTGTTGTAGCCTTAGATAAATAATGTATTAAATCAAAATGGACACACTAAACTTTCCTTGTTTACTCTCTATGAAGTTTTGACCAGTAAAGCAGCAATGCGTCAGAGGTCTAACATAAACAACTCGTTTTTGAGGGTTAAGATTGCATGCATCTTAACCCCCATGTCAAGAAGAATTGGGATTATACTGTTTTTGTTGTTGTTGTACTATAGTTAGTGTTAGATTGCATCCCACATCGAAAGTCCAAGAGTAAAATAATGGGTATATAAGCTCTTGGGTTAAACTAACTAATCATTTGGATTCAATCTTTTACACTATGTTTGGTTTAAGGAATTTAGTAGGAAAAGAAAAGAAAATGGTTTTCTCACATTTTCCACACAAAAAGGAAGGAATTTGGTTTTCCTTCCTTTTAGCACATTTTGCATTCTCATAATCTTTTCCATCCACTTTTCTTTTCTTTTCCTTTTTAACCAAATAAGAAAAATGTTTTCCTTCTCATTTTCTTTTCTTTTCCCTCTCAAATTCCTTGAACCAAACATAGTGTTAATGTGGTTTAGACTAAATATCTTATTGCCTAATTCAGTTATCTTTACCCCGTCCTAAATTATCTTTACCAACACCATGTCAAGGAACCAACAACTTTTGGCTGAGTTGGTTCCTTGACATGGTAGATGGTATCGGAGCAGGTTTTGGCCCAACTCGTTTGTCAAGGTGTCCGTCCAGACGTTCATGCCTGTGGCCCGTTTAACACGATTGCTCGTCTGCAAGTCCTTACCCAACGGCTCGTGATCTTTAGGTGTTGGCGCTCAAAAAAAAATCAAGGGGATGGGAGTTCATTTGCAAGTGGTCAACCCGTTAGATTCAAAATGGCCCGGTTGTCCGCTTGAGGGGAAGGGTTAGAGTGCATCCCACATCGAAAGTCCAAGAGTAAAATAATCAGTATATAAGCTCTTGAGTTTAAACTAACTAATCAATTGGATTTAATCTTTTAATGCAATTCAGTTGAAGTGTCTTATTGTCTAATCCAGTTATCTTTACCACATCCTAAATTATATCAGTTAGGCACTAAGGTTGTGGTTGGGAATAAAGTGTAATAATCATCTTTTTACCACCCAAAATAAAAGGGTTGCAATTATTTGAAAACTTCTAAAAATGAAAGTGTTGCCACTATTTAAGAACACAAAAAGAATTATGTAGTATTTATTGCTCCCTCCGTCCTGATATAAGGTTCCACAATTAACAGGGCATGGTTATTAATAAAGATGAAAGTGTGTGGTTAAGTTTGGTGCAGAAAAGAGAGAGATTATGTGAACCACACAATTTCTTCCTCAATAGGAAAGAAAAACCTTTTTTGGGACAGACAAAAAAGAAATATGGAATTCTTTTATGGGATGGAGGGAGCACGGATATTTTGAGGATGGAATTGAACAAGAAAAACTTTAATATATCAACGTTGGATAACAAATTTCCTTTGTTTCTAGCTACAACTACTGTCTAGTAATAGAAGTATGACCATACCTGGTCAGAAAAATATTGTCCTGGAACTTCCACATCAACAACATGGAAGTCTCGCAACACCCTGCTCTCGTCTTCAAGCTTCAGACCAGCGGGATAACGGTCCTCAACATTGCTTTGCAGAACATTTTTCCAGTGCTTCAGCCGTTCTGTGAGTTCCGAAAGTGTAGCTGGGAACGTTGACGTACTATCAGGATCAAGATCTCGTTCAAACTCGTGTTTGTACTCTCTTACAAATTCTACATGTTTGCTCACAGCATCTGCTGAAAAACAAGCCCTACAGACACCAGACAGCTCCTTCTTCAAAGATTGTGGAACTTCAGCTATAGTTGCGGTTGGGTATTTGTAACATCGATGTAGCAAAGCATTAACAACAGCTAGCAATCTCTCTTCTGGTAAAGTGACAAATCTTGAACCAATTTCCGTGAGCAAGATCTGGGGAGACAGTTTTGATGGAAAAAAATTAGTGTCATTATCACCCACTCATACATGAGGAAATTTCAAAGGAATCTGTGTGCCATTTGCAATCTTAAATATACAAACACGAAATAAGGAATTAAACAGTCAACATTTTAAAAAATTTAAATACATGACATGAAGTCAAGTCTATGATCTAGTGATAAGCCACAGCTGTATGGTGGTGGGATCTTGGAAGGTCACAGGTTTAATTTCCAGCAGAAACATTTTCACTATAGCTCTCCATACAACCTACTTTCGCAGAGCCCTCGATGACTCCCTTAATCAACAATCACACAAGACAAAATATTGCTACATACTCCGTATATAATACTCCCTCCATCCCCTTAAGATCTTCTCATTTTGACTTTTTGTCGTTTTTAAGGAGAGTTGAAAAAAGGTGAAAGTTTACCATAATACCCTTAATGAAAATGGGTGGAGTGTATCAAATGAGGTAGATGAGATGTAATAAATAAAGTAAGTGAAGGTAGTTATGGTATTTTAATGGTTAAAAAAGGTAATGAGAAGATCTATGGTGGACAAATAAAAAGGGCTAATGGGAAGATCTATGGGGGACAGAGGGAGTATAACAGTCATCATCCCACACCTATATTGTCGGCTGGATCCACAATGAATTCTGAGAAGTGAGAATCAATGAATCATTGGGATTGGTATGTTCTTTTTTATGAGGTGATTGCATAATCAACATCAAAATCTCAAAATTATTTTCACTTGCATAGAAAATATCACGACAATGAATATTGTCTACAAGGACATCTCTCATTACAAGATTCATATGTTCTTTAACAATTGTGCATAAGAGAAGGAAAACACGCATATGATTCTATCAAAAAAAGATAATAGGCCAGTTCAGATAGATTTCAAATTTCACAACTAACATAAAACAAGTGACGACAGGGGACTGATGTACTAATGGGTTGCTAACTGACAGATGGGACAGTGAATTTTGATCTCTTTCCAAAACACAACAAAAACCTCAGTAGAATCCCACAAGGTCTGGTGAGGGTGTGTACACAGACCTTAAAATATTAATAAAAATTATGTTACTCCCTCCGCTCCATAAAAAATTCATGTTTCATAACATATTTATGCCCAAGAAATGAGTGACACATGACCAAACACGCTAACTTTTATTATATAACAGTTTATATATTAAAAGTGTCACAAACAAGTTTTTTTATTATTTTTTATAATTTAGTTAAACAAACTAAATTTAAAGGATTTTTAGATGTCATAAATCCAATGCCTTAATTGATTTAAATGATATAAGTCCCACATTTCAAAGAGCTTGTCATTGAGCACCCTTTACGCCTTATTATTTTCATTTTTCATTATACCAGCAACAACTTGTGCTAATTAAAGCTCAACTGTGCATCTTATATTTCTGATATGAAAAATAAAAAAGGTAAACACATTGACACATATCACGTACATAGTTGTTAATGGCGAGCGTCATTTGCGCTAAAGGCGCTGTGGCATGGTATTTCCGCCAATCTGGATTGTGGCGCGGCATTTTACGTGAGGCGTGCCAGAGGCGTCGCTATTGCTGCTAGGGATTCTGGCGAGTGGTGTGCACCAGCTACGCTTTGTGTCTGGTCAATTTTTTTTAAAAAAATTAACTGACCTTGACCTATTTAATCGCGTTTCTTCTGGCTTGTTGCTCCAATTCTTACTATCAAATTCCTCAAGTCTCGGAAACCGCTCCAGAGTCTCTTTAGTCGGTTCTTCTTCAGGACTCCATCGCCAGCAAAAATTTTGTTATCTAAGGCGCAATTGCAGCGCAAGTAGGTCACAGCACTCCTCCTCTTTAGCATAGTCAATTCTTTTTTTTGTTGATTTATTTTTATAATATTTTTAATCCATATAATGTCTAACAGTGTGTGTGTGTGTGTCTATATATATATATATATATATATATATATATATATATATAGACACACACACACATGTGTGTGTGTGTGTGTTTGCCATTTGACTGCCCGCCTCTCACCATAAAAAAGGTCCTCTCGCCCGCCCCTTGCCAGTCGCCATTAACAACTATGATCACGTACTTATGATTCAAGACCATCTACTTTCTCTGATTGATAATGATTTAAGTAGTAGGCCTTAAAATTGGGAAGCAATGGATCTCGTGCAAGGAGGGTACCCTTTCCACTATTCAAGCTTGATGTAAAGGGACGACTCGCTACATGAGTTTTCCTTCGTGTGAGATCTCAACCACTTCCCAAATATTGGAGAAAGTAGCCCAAATCGGAGAAAGTAGACTGTCTCTAGATCATAAATAGGTGATATGTGTGGATATTTTTTTTATTTTTATATCAGTAAATTAGAGAGACACATTATTTAAAAATTGAATTCTTATTATCCTAATTCGTTGTTGGTATAATGAAAATAATAATGCCTAAAGGTCGGCTCAATGACCTGCTTTTTGAAAGGTGGGATTAAAATTATCCAATACCCTAAATGGTTGGATTGATGGCGTCCAGAAATCCATTTAACATATAGCTATGGTTGATAATTTCTATTGGTCGTACCTTAGTAAAATTAAAAAGTTAATAACATGATGAAACCAAACTCTTTTTATGGGATGGAAGAGTGTATGACCTTTAAGAGAAATCAATCATTTCAAGATTACCCATGTAATTATAATTTCATTCAACAAAAAAGAAAAAATCCTTATAAAGATCCAGAGGACCGAAGTATATGAGCAAAAACTGTAAAACGGGTACCTACTCACCTCAAGTTCACTAGCGAGGTTGGCATGCTTACTTCTCAGTGTCTCCATTATATCTTTTGCAGCATCAAATGCACTAGCCGCCGAAGACCCCAAACCTAAGTTAGTACTACGCCTTAACAAATTCTGACCACCATCACCAGAAGATGAGCTCTGGTTTAAGGATGGGTCAGTTCCAGAAGGCATGCCACCTTCAACATGTGTTGACCTTTCAGGTTCAGCAACATGAGAGCTACTGCCATCATGAGAGCCAACCCCTCCAGTCTGAGTTCCTTGAGAGACATGATTCTCTGCAGCACTTGAACCACCATTCTGACCAGTTACTCTAGCATTTCCCTCAGCAAACCCCATAGACCCAGCTACATTGGCAGCAGAGACATTCTGCTGCATTCTTTGTTGGGCCATTGCCATTCTACTATATTCAGATTTATTTGCAACATCACGGCGTTCAAGTAAATATGTGCGCAACCAGTAATACAACGCCTGAAATTAAAGAAAGATCAATTCAATAAAATAAAGAAGCCTAGAAGGAATGAAAAGCGAACACAAGATGCAACATTACCTGTGGATACACAGTAGCAATTTTTAATAGAACAAGTTTGCAATGAGGAGCCTCATTCCTCTGTAAGGAAAGTAGCAGCTGAGGGATCCAAGAAAGCCAAACCCAATCGGGTATTTGGTCAAAATATTTATCAAATGCTCTTCCTACAGGCTCACTTGAAGTGTCAAAGCTCAGAAGATATAAAACACGAGCAAGGTGGCTTCTAGAATTAGGGCTCCCAAACTTGATCCCTTGTAAAAAGCAGCTGACTGCATACTCCAGCCATATTTCCTCATGGGCATCTTTGTAAACCTGATAATAAACAAAATTATTTTGGGTAGCTAAAAAAACTGAAGTTGGATGGGGATAAAAATGCATACCATATGACAATAATTGCCCCAGCTAATCCATCCTTTAGGCAAATTCTTGAAAAGGGAAATAGCATTTGAATATGAAATGTTTGCCCCTTCACAATCATTAAGCTTCAACAAGAAATCTGCCTTAAGACGAAAAATTTCAGCTTTGTGTTTGATAGAAAAATATTCCAGATTAGTATTGTTGATCAAATTAAGACCGCTTGTTAGCTCTCCCTTCATTTCTAAATAAGCTTTGACTTGTTCCCTAATTTTTACAAAGGCTTCCTGCAAGTCATTGGAAAAGAATAGATGGCCTGAGAACATTAAACTCAGCTAAAAAAAATAGAGGGAGTCCAACTCACGAGATTAGAAGAAAAACCTGAACTTCCATCGTTGAATGCCCATACAATTTCTCCAGAATAGACACACAGACGTCATGAAGTCCTTGTTTCCGAGCAATATGGGCAAGTTTATTTACATTCCATGCCTTATCACGATATCCAAGATGATGCAATTGAGAATTTGTAGAACCGAAGTCCTTAAATGCATCAATGACTGCATTATACATTTCATTCCTCCATTGAAACAAATCATACCAAACAGACAAGTTATCCCATTCATTAGGAGTCCTCAGTCTCCATGTCTCAAGTATATCCTTCAGATCCGCATATGCCGCACCATGAACACCAACAACAGAGTTTCCAGGAATTTTGTTTCCGTTGGCAATGTCAACAATGATACGAGATGATTCCTGAACTTCAACCAGTTGTTGGAATTGCTGTAGAAGAGGAATTCTTGAATGAATGGACATATCTGGCAACTGCCACCACTGTTCCAGGGCAAGATCAACTCCTTTCCCGACAATGCTTTCAGCCTCCGCCACTCCATTAGTATTCTTTTCATGAAGAGCAAAATAGGCTTGTATGATACGGAGCTTTGGGGTCTCCTCAACTTGAGCCTTTGGAATAACTTGATCTTTCAAATACGCCCAATCAGGCTGCTTCCACAGACTGTCAAGTAAAATCTCATAATTCTCAACTGCCTTCCCGAAGTCTACTAGTGCATCCCATTGACTAAGTTGGGAAGCACAAGATAGCCACTGCTCTTCCCACAGACACATCTCTGCTTTAGGAACGGTATTGTTATAAGTACCTTGAGTTGCCTTAAGCATGGCTTGTTGAAAAATGCTTTGAGCACGCTGCCAATACCCATGCTGCACAAGGGAGAGCCCAGCCCGCGTTTCTGCTGAAACTGACCGTTTTTTCCATAATCCACACCTCATATCTTCTTCATTGATTGACCGGTAAAGCTCAGCCAAAGATTCAGAGCACTTAGTGTCATTTATGAATAGCATCACGTGACTTTCCAGCAATGCTAGAGCAATGTGCCATGCATTATAAGTCTTTCCAATGTATTTAATGAGCTCACTGGGCATTCGAGGTTGAGGATGACTTAGCTGAAGTCCTTCTAAAAGAGCTTGAACAACATTAGGTCGCTGCATAGCCTGCCTTTTATGATAGTCTTTTGAGAGCAGAGTTATCATTGGCTTAGCAAGGGCAACTTGCTCTTCTTTGAGCAAGGTGACCCAAACAATGGGGAATACCAAAACCCACAGGTGGTAAGCCACATTCGCATCTGTATGTGCCAGCTCTCTCAGTGGGAGAACTAGATCAGCAACCTAAGATTTGAAAGATTGCAAATGAGCAACAAGTATAATATGGATCCAAAATGAAAGATTGAAAATATTGTTACATAAGACTTTCTTCACAATATAGCTATATAACCACGTAAACTTTTTTAGAGGATATAAGCAACCATATTACACAAGAAAAATGTGCAGTTAAGGATGAAAGTATCAAAGAATGAATGTTAAGAGGAAAGTCCATATACCTTAAGCCTGCTCATTTCATTCAAAAAGTGTGCATGCTTAGACACAAGACCATCAAAAGTTAGGGGAGCTTCCTCAGAACCTTCTTCAGCATCCAATATCATTGGTTGTACGGCAGTGCTATCAGCAACTGAAGCAGATATCATCAGCGGAGGAACCTTGGCAGAATTTGGAGCCAGCGTTATGGGCTTGTCCTCAACTAAAATGGCCAGGAGAAGATCAAGACCTTGCTTAAGCCAAAAAACATCGTTCAATGCCTCCCAGTCTTGTAATTGGATAATGTACTGCAATCTAGAGAAGAGGGTCTTCCCAAGGGATTCGTGATAAAGAGAGAAGAACTTCATCCGCATTTCAGGATCTTTTGCCCGTAATCCAAGCAAAAATTGTCTCTCTACTTTTTGGAAAACTTCCTGACGCAGGGAGAAAGGATACCTGCAAATTAATCATATAAGCTAGTGTGCCATATGAATCGCTCGATTCGCTCCAATGAAATAAAGAAAGCATTACTAACTTGCTCGAGTCAGCACAAAGTCCATAAAGAAGAGAGAGATATTTCTGGTCCCACTCGTCCACAGCATTGGAGAAGTTCTGTTTATCAACTTGCGAAAGCCTTTGAATGAAAGAAACCACATCCTTCTGAGTAAGGCAAGTATTAGATGCTGCAGCAGCTCCAGATCTACCAAAATCATCTTCAATCCATCGTTTTACTACATCTAGTATGCACATCAACACAGAAGGGTCGGTTCCCTTTTCAGAGAGCAATGAATTCAATATTTGAGTTACGGATCGTTTGCATTCTGGAACTGACATGACCCGTTCACTGATCAGACTCAATACAGCTTTTAGGTTAGCAATGACAACTCCAACATCAGCGCCTTGGCGGGAAGAAGTGACAGCAGAATCTGGATCTGACCTCTGACCCTGTAATGGAAAGCTATAAGAAACTCTCTCTATCGGGTATAAATGAACATACTTATAAGGGCATGTTAAATACACGTGATTATTCCATGTCATTCTTGCTTTTCAGATTTAGGGTGGTTAGATCAGGAAAGGGCAGAAAAAAAGTTGGCCATTGGGAATTTGGGATATCATGAAAATGAAGCAAAAACATGTTTTCATTACCACAGAACATGGAGAAGACACATTAATGATGCAGTGAAAAATGAAGAACCATTGTTAATAAAGTTTGATACACAAACACAAGCAAAAAACCTTAATGATATTCACTTTGTATGGAACACTGTTTCACATGGAAAGAATACTCAAAGAAGAAATGAAATACTTGTAAGTCAAATGAGCACAATTGACCTGTCTAATATGAGAACCAATGGAAGAACCCATATCTCGTGCCAGCCGTTGAAGAACATGTACCAGACTAGTTGGGTCGATGAAATTTTTGTGCACCTCCACTAATGTCTTGATCACATAAAGGACAAAGCTAATGATGCTCCCTGAACTGTCTTCTCCTGATGTTTGAGGTGCTGCAACCACAGAAAGGTGCTTCTGTATGAGCTCCTCCACTTTTTGATATAACATTCGCACTTCTTGTGGAGTATTAGATTGGTTAGGAGGATAAGCAAGGGAAACCATCTTCAACAAAGAACACAATGACTTCCCAGCATCTAACATTTTGAACTTGAAACATGGCTCTAAAATCTGAGAGAAAAAGGCAAAATAAAATGCATTAGGTTGACAACCACATGTAGGAAAGAAATGCAGTTCTTCAAAAAACCATACTTGTGAGATCTGGCTGATATTGTTTCGGACAAAGAGATGAGGTTGTTTCTCCAAAACTTTATTCATCACATCTAGGCCCTGGGCAAGAGCTGTGGATGGATCCTTCGACTGAGGAGGAATACTGCTAAGAAGCTTATCTAGATAATTAAATTTTACATTGGCATTGGGCCAGACTTCCAAAGCTTGTGATAAGAGATCCAAGGCCTGTTTATACATCAGACTAGCTTCTCTGTCCTTTGGTTCTATTACCAAGGCTACCTATTAACAGCAGTATATATGGAGTTAAAAATGGTTCTTAGAGTCTTAATTATAGAAAGGCTTAATGAATTAAATATTTGCTGATAATAATACTGCATAAAAGGCAAAAATAGCAAACTGAGCATCACAAATCCCATAAGAAGTTTTGAAAAAGAAGGCATGAGAAGAGAGCTTTACTCGTATAAGGAAATTTATAATCATTTCTTCCATTGCTGCATTCGGTTTAAACTCTTCATCAGGTTGCCCGCCTGATCCAGGGGTTTCAATGTTAGGAATTGATGAGACGCCCCCTCCTGGTGACATGACACAGAGGGATTGCAGACCAGGTTCTACCTTGACTCGCTTACTGGGATCTTCTGAAAATGATGATACATCCGCATGATTCTTGGAATCCACAGAAGCATGGCTCGACCTATCGCTAATCTGGCCAGTGGTATCATGATTAGGCACCACTTTCATTTCATTTTGCCTTTGCCTTTCCCAATTCACTACCAACCCAGCAAGTTCAATGGCAAGTCGTCTATTTTCTGCTGTAGTGTTGTATGGCAATCCAAGGCGACTTAGGGAATTTACCATCTGAGGAACAAATTGTGCTCTGCAGCTGTAGAATAGATCTGAATGGCGAACAATGAGCTGGAATATGTGTATCAGATTAGGGATAGAATGACCTTCCTCAACAAGAATTTTTTTTGTATAACGTATCCAGATTGGCATGCGGGAATCACCAAGAGGCAACCTTTGTGGAAGTGCAGGCATAAGTATATCAAGTGCTTGCTTGACCAACAGTTTGTTCTCTGGCTGGCAAGTTCGGAGGAGTGCAACAAAAACCTGCCATTCCAAGTATTAGTTATTATCATTTTCAAATTATAACTATAATAACCAACTGAGATAGATGTCAGCATTCACATATTCTGTACTTAACAACTAGTCAGTTAGAACTTTAATACGTAACTGATATGTGCTAAGCACCATAAAGAACCACACTCCAAAGATTTTGATATGCTCCAGAAGTCTTTACAATTTAGAAAACTTTATTAGTAAGGTTATGACAACTAAATAATCATCTATTCGGTTAGTGCATTAGTGTTGAAGTAGATTATTGTATTAGTCTAGGACTTAGATGTAGTATTTAATTTAGATAGAATATACTCTCATTACAACCTTAGATAGGAGCATGTGAATATCTAGTATTAGGGTAGTTGGGTAGTTGTGTGGGCCTTGGCTATAGTTTTTGCACTAGTCATTGTGTGCTTTCTATGCTTGGTGTTTTTTTGTCTTTTTAGTTTTATGCTTAGTTTGCTTTTTGCTTATTTGCTCATGGTCTGTGTGTCTTATACTCACTTTCTAGGGAGGGTGTGTGTACGCAGACCTTACCCCTACTCGAAAGTAGAGAGGTTCTTTCCAAAATATATCAGGGGGTGCAGTCATGACTACTGCACAGCCATTCAAACGCCAAATCCATTAAATAAGTGTTCCATAAATTGGCTTTAGTAATGTTATTATAGACTGTCATCGTGGTTATGCACACAGTTCAAAAGGTTGCAGGCACTGAAAAATGCTGAATTTTTTAAGATGTTGGTTATTGACCAGAAATGTCAGTGCCACAGATATCACCCTTAAAGGTCGTGGGCAAGTTTGATGCCCAAAAGGGATCAGCATGAAAGGATTCTTTACAATATTGAACTCCCTCTGTCCCATAAAAAGAGTCCACTTTAATAAGTACAAAACTTTTTAATTTCCATAATCTCTGATGGATCCAAGGATTCACTATTTTTGGCTTTTGGACATGATTGAATAAAGCAAAATGGCTCTTTAAACTGTATGCGCTTCTTTTATAGTGAAGTAGCAGTTAGTCAATGCAACTTTCAACACTCACCATGGGTCATCCGTAAAAACAGCCGCTATATGTTTTAAACATAGGGGCTAGGCTGCATACGTGATTACTAGTGGTGCGTGAGCAGGGGGTGTCTTTAGAAACAGCTCTATACTTTCAAGTAGGGGTAAGGTATGAGTACACACACCATCCCTAGACCCTACTTTTGTGGCATTCAACTGGGCTGTTGTTGTAACTTTTTAAGTTTAGTAAGGTACAACTTTTAGGAAGCACAAAATATACCTACATTTTTAAGCTATTTGGCAAATACGATTCTTTTTATGGGACAAGAATATGTTGAGAAATAGGACTCTTTTTATTGGACGGAGGGAGAATTAGCTTCCTATTCATATTAATTCTTTATCCTTGTTAAGCTACACATAGCGATGTATTAGTGCAAGGCTATAGCTAGCTCATCAAGAACACCTACAGAATGCACAAGAACAGCTATCAAATGCACAAGGACAGCAGATCAGCCAGATATCATGGATCCATTGGGCCAATGAGAGATGAGGCAAATTATGTAACCATTGTATAACTTGACCCCCCCCCCCCCACCAAAATCCAATTTTGACTTGTCCGGTTCATAATAAGTTATATATTTTATCTTTGACTTCCAAAATGCTGTCATGATGTGGTAGACAATTATTGATGGGACCATAGTTGTTACAAAGGCTAGGCGAGGCTGGGCGGTAGAGCACCTTCCAATCGCCTAGGCGATTAGGTGCCCGCCTAGGCATCCGCTGGGCGAGTGGGTTATGGCGACCATAAAAATTTTATAGGTACTAATGTTAAAGCATATAATATGATCACCAAGGTTCCCATGACATTGGTTCCCAATGTCATGGGAAACTTGCCCTAATATGATATAATTAATTAAGATGAACAGTGATACCACCTTTATGAAATTGAGTATAATACTATTTGTGTGTGTGTGTGTGTGTATAGAGATTGACTCCAGTGAGATAACACTTTATGGTGAGATGACATGCTTCGGTGAGATGACGCAAAGCTCACCCCATTACACTGCAAAGCTCACCCATGGCCAATGTAAAGCTCACCTGGGAACAAAACAAAGCTCACCACTTTAACACCAAAACTCACCTTTTTTTTAATTTTGAAAATTAAAAAATTAATAAAAAATAAAATAGCAACACCGGTCAACCACTGGTAAGTGGTGACGGCGCGGCGGAGACCGGCGGCCGGCGGCAGAGATCGGCGGTGGTCAGCGACGGTGGTTGCCGGCGGCGGTGGTCAACGGCGGCGGCGGCGGCAGCAGAGGTCGCCAGCGGAGGTGGTCGCCGGCAGCGGCGGCGCGGCGGAGACCGGCGGCGGCAGAGGTGGTCGCCGGCGGCGGCGGCAGAGGTCGCCGGCGGTCGCCGGCGGCGGCCGGCGGCGGCTGGCGGAGGTCGGCGGCGGTGATGGTCAACGGTCAATGGTCAAAGTCTAGTCAGCACCAATTCCTTTGCTTTTTTTTCAAAAAAAATTCAAAGTGTTGAATAAAATATGGTGAGCTTTGCCTTACAGTTTGGTGAGCTTTGTAGTTGTCTTTGGTGAGCTTTGCAGTGGCCAGTGGTGAGCTTTGCGTCATCTGACCGTAGCATGTCATCTCACCGTAAAGCGTCATCTGACTGGAGTCAATCCCATATATATATATATATAAGCCTACTCCAATAAAGGGAGCTTTTAAAAGGCCTATTAAATTTTGGGCCATATACTCTTGTGAAAAGGTCCAATAGTCTTTTAATGAACATAGCCCAGTTATTTGACCTAGTCCACTAGTCTAAATGATAGATGATAGAGAGTTAGAAAGACACAGGGAGCCGCTGGAAGCCTGACCGCGACAAATGATCGGCGAGAAAGATAAGTCTTCATTCTATCTCCTCCTCCGTCTTCTCTCTCTATCCCGCGCGTTCCCTTGCGCTTCTAAAACGTAGATGCGTCTCCGAGATAGTCACTAAGTTGCCTAGGGAGAAAAAAGCTTGGCGACCAACTAGGCGTCCACATAGCCTTGCCCAGACGCCTAAGCGTCGCCTAGGCGACGCCTTGATAACTATGGATGGGACATGTGAGGATATCACCGATGTGTAGGAAAGACTTCATTTTAGGGACAAAAAAAGGGAAAACGAGAACTTCATTTTAGGGACAAAGGGAGCTTTAACCATTACTAAATGCTCAATGTTCATATACATAAATTGGGCCCATGAGCAAATAGCATCACGACAAAACCAAAGCAGTGGCAGAATCATGATGCTTCCCGTAAAAATGGATACAAAAGTATGACCAATAACAATATTTTACCACTAATTTATCTGCAGACACAAAAATGTATCTTAATAAAACATAATGCAAATGGTAAATAAAACACATGGCTATGCAATGCTGGGTTTGAAAAAAATACTTCAGGAATTCACCAAATCAAGTATACCTATGCAAGCGGGACATCATAAGACCATAAGAATAACACATGGAAAAGTAACCAAACCCAAAAAAGATGGACAGAAACATTTTATATACCACCATGCCTAACTAACAGAAAGTACCTGAAGTATAATCTTCTCTGGAGCTTGATAAGCCTCTAAGAAATGGCAAACGTTTACAAATGCCCACTGCTTACTGGCACTATCTTCACGTTTAAGATGATTCCAACCAAATTTAATAAGCTCCTTTCGATGATGAACAAGATCAGTCTGAAGATACTTGAGAAGCAATGTTGCAAGTTGTAGAAGCTCAATCCTCAATGGCTCATCGTAATCAGCAGACACCTATCAAACCCAGGAACCCAGCAGATCTCAATGTAAAACTAGAAATTTCAAGGTGTGGATATATAAAAATAAATGCTTACTACTACCTCTTCTGGAGGGTCAAGAAGCTTATCAACAATTGTCTTTACTATAGCAGAATCAACAACCTCCCAGGTTTGCCCATTCTGAAAGGCATGAGCAAGCATTGGAAGAACAAGCATTTGCATAATGACAACTAAGTGATCATGACCAAGTTGCTTTAACTGGAAAAGGTTCAGAAAATGGAGGAGCAAAGCTTTCTTCATTTCAGGCGGATAACTCTCAGCAACCTTCAGTGAACATTGGTAGTCAGAGATCAATATTGCATAGTGATGAAAATAAAAGAATCTTTATTTCATAAACAAATAGTACAATCAGTTATCAACATACCTCTATAATGTAGAACTCCTTAAGAAAGGTAAAGTCTATGCGAGTACGAAACAAGAAGACAGAGAGGATATCAAATAGAACATTCATTTCAGCCTTTTCATGTTGCAAGTAATTCAGGAAACACTTGACAAGCCATTTGCTCTCCTTGACCTGCAAGTTTTACTATTATGAATTAGAAAATACATGAATTTTGAATAGGTTACAACTGGTATAATACAAGCACTCAGACAATCACAACCATAAACATGTGAAACATGTTTATGAAAATTTGAAAACATATAGCAATCATCTCCTCTTCCCAAGGAGATACTGGCAGAATGTGAACCAAAGGAGATACTGGCTAGTGGCTAGCATGTGAATCTCCTGGCAAGTACAATCCCAATCATAATCATTGAGATGGAAAATCATAATTAATGCATGCATAGAATGCATGGTCTGGTCCATAAATTCATGAGCAAAAACTTCTAACAGGGAATAAGAATTAAGGAAGACAAAAGAGTATAACTGCAAGAGAAAGAGAACGGTAAGGATGAAAGAGGAGAAGAAAGGACTTTTCAGAGAAGCTTGATTTACTGGAATGTTGATCAATTACTCCCTCCGTCCCAAATCAAGGTTCCTAGCTTCCATGTTGAGCTGTCCCAAAATAAAGTTCCTAGTTCTAAAAAGGATACTTTTTATTGAATGGGCAAGTTTGCACTTGTACTCCTCACTCCACCCTTTATTCTAGTTTCCAAATCCACCCTCTCTTCTAATGTGTCTTCCTAATCTAGCAATGAAGATTTTTTTAGCACTCAGATCCAACGATGTGGAAAGAGCAGCAGGAAGCAACAAGCTTACGCGGTTCCGCCTTACGGTCTTCTTCTTCAATTTCTACTTTCTCCTTGATTCCGCCCTCAATCTTGCTCGATTTTGTTTTTGACCTCAATCTAGCTCGGCTTCTTCCATATATTTTTGCTTGCTGCAAACCCCAATGAGCATCAAGCAATGAAGATTCACTCCAAAAGACCCATCGCATCTGATAGAGAGTGCAGGGTCAGAGTTTCCAACAATTGCACCGGCAAAATTCTCGGCGATCTAGATCTGTTGGATGTAACAGAACCATTAGTCGGAATATCAAAAATCCCTCTAAATATAGGGATTCCACAAGCGATGTACTTTGGGGCAAATGCTAGTGAGGATTTGGCCGGGTGTACCGTAAATATCCTGTTGTTTGTTAAGGTTACCTTTGTGAGGTCAAAAACTTTTCAACTTTTCTTAATCTTCGTGCTCGGTCAAACCAGAAACCTTAATTCAAGACGGAGGGGAGGGAGTATTAGTACTCCTAAGAGACTCAGACTACCAATCTAGCTTAGACATCAGAGGGAACAATTAGATAGATGTTTGAACAATAACCAACTGTATGACAACCTGAACAACACGATACATTAAGTAAACTATTTGACAAAATCCAAGACCAAGCAGCAATGTATAGTTTAACATCAACTCTAGCAAGAAATAATAAATATGGATTCTAAAAATGAAAAAGGGAAAAAGTCAATAAAGAAGTTAATGATTGAACATATCAGGGGATATCACACCAAATGAATAGAGCAACGCCATTTCCAAGATTTTCAATAACACTTACTTGCACCAAGTTCAGCTCCTGCTCATTTTGTAGCCGTGAGATTCTTGCAGGTGACTTCCACATCATAACCAAAGTGTCAAAGATGATGCGGTTGTTCTGCAACCATGTAGGCATCAACTTGACCAAAGTCTTAACCAAGGCAAGGCCCTGGAAGTAAGCATCTTGCATCCCACCTAAAGTTGAAGATGGTATAGAAGTCTCGGATTGATGAGTTGCAAAAGCTTCATCACCTACCAATGTCTTTTGTCTATTGCCAGGTTCATGTCCAGTTGCAGCATCAGTTTTTGAAGTGAATTCTGGGAATGCACTTGCAATTATCTTATCAGGTGACTTTGCTAGTTCATCTCGCAAAGGCTGGCCAGCATCTGACCTTATTATGTACATAAACCTACATCGTTCTAAATACATTAAAAACTTGCATATACAATCTCTACAACAATCTCATGGTTTTTCAATACAAAAAAGATAAAGTTAAATAAAAGCAAAACTAAACTTACCGTCTGAAGTATTTTGGCTGGCATAGCCGAGCAAGAAAGTAATCAACAGAAGCTGTTGGATACCTATTCAAAAATTTGGTTAGTGGAAGCCGGTACGGACTGTTAATCTCACTATAAAATTGTCCAGGTGGAAGGGCAACTTCTAAATCTATTGTCAGGGTCACAAGTTCATCAAGAAACTTCCCAGCTGCTGAGGGAAGCAGATGGAAAAGCTCAATTATAGCTGCATAGACAAATGAAAATTGTAAGTCCGTAAAGAAATTATAGAAGATAAGCACCATTAGAAATTAAGATCTGGAATCAAACACAACTTACCAGAAGCAATTTTGGGTTCTTCACCTGCCTTCCATGATTTTTGGCACTGTGCAAGTTTTTCAGGTTCTAACCATTTCCTTAAGTGTTCTAACAGCTTTCCGCCTAAGGTTACATTGAACCAGTTGGAGAGAAGCTCTAGAAGGCGAGCTAGACCTTGTAAAAGTGGCATGCTGAGATTTTTAGTATGTGCCAAGTTAACTAATATTGGTCGAAGGCTGCTCTGCAACAAATCCTTGGGCATCTTTTGCTGTAGTATAACCTAGAAAACAATCAAGCAACAAAAACATTACCCCAGTGCCTCAACGGCTCCCGCCCATTGCGGGGTAAAGAGGGTCGGATGTACGCTGGCCCCTATGTTTAAAACATAGAGCGGCTGTTTCCAGATGACCCATGATGAGCGTCGAAAGTTGCATTAACTAACTGCTACTTCACAAACAGTTTAAAGAGCCAATTTGATTTATTCCATCATACCCCAAAGCCAAAAAATAGTAAATCTTTGGCTCCACAGGGGAATGGAAATTACCTAGAAAACAATCCCAGTAAAGAAAAACACTAAATAAAAGACATGCCATATCTGATCAGTAAAAGCAACTCCATATTCTATGAGTACAAGGTATTGAGGAACCGTGGGTGATTTCAATATGAAGGCCTAACTAAGTCATGACTGCTGAGCCAAAAGCACATTAACATTCTTCCACAATACCAAAACAGATCAAGGGTCACACCAAAGTCAACTAGCTAACATATACAAATGATACAATTATGATGTTAAATGTTCGTGTTGGCTATAAGTTTAGACCGAAAAGGTATTTTGTTGTGCTGCTTTTGGGACCAAAAGTTGTCCTAGTAATAGATTCACTAAACACTTCTAGTGAATGGTCAATGGTAAGATGAATACAACCTTGAACTGGGTTGTTGTTTTGTGGAGCCTTCATCTTATGGTAAGATGGATTCCCAAACTTGAACCTTCTTTTCATAGTTTTGGTAGTTGGAGCAGGGGAGCTAATTGCAGATTTCGCTACGGTTGTTTCCATTTCGTGAAGATTTAACAATTTCCAAAATGCCAAAGAGAAGATGGATGATTTATTATCATTGCTATTACTAAAGTAGAGAATAGAGTCTGGAACACCAATGCATCATTTTCCCTCTTTTGAAGTGATCTGAATGGGATATTGTCAAAGCACTTATTTTCTTGATCTTTCCCTGAAGAGCCCGTTTTCCAACTTTCTATTTTATATTCGTTGTCTGGTTCTTGACGAGTGACGACTAATTGAGAGAGGTCACATAGAAAATCCATTTATATCCACATTGAAACTAGATTTTATCAAGTATCAACTATTGTGGTATTGCCACATAGAAAATCCATTTATATCCACACCTGACATGCCAATCTTAAGGTCACAACATTTTTTACTAGAATAGTAGGTTTCTAATGAGTTTCTAGGTTTCTTACAATCAAGTTTAAGAATCTATCTAATGAGTTTGCTTTATAACGTTACTAAAGAAGTTTTAGAGATTGAATCATTCCTAATTTCCTGGCTTCCAATTCATCGTGCGCTTCCCGCTCGCTGTTTCAACAAGTAAATGTCTGTCTATTACCATATGGTCTTTGTAAAATGATTACAAATATTGAGTTGTATTCAATATTATACTTCTCTCTTCTGAATAATTCTCTAAATTTCTTCCACGTGAATTGAATAGCAGTGGATATATGCTGCCTGCCAGTCCATCTTCTCATGATTTCTAAGTTATAGTCTTGTTAAATCCAATGGTAAAAAACAAGCAAGAACTTGGAAGGATATAAGAAAAGAAGCTATACAGCTATACCTTTTAGAGAATGATAATGGTCTTAATAAAACTAACAAGAAAAAATTATAAATGTTAAAAGGTGAAACCAACCTGTCGTAAACCCTCCTTTGCAACAGCTACAATTTCTGAATTTCTGCTTGTTAGACACTTGAAAAACATTGAAATTATTTTTGAACGTAATTCAGCATGGTTTTGAGTTTTGAAATCTGCCCATGCCATGGCAGTGCATAGTAATTCAATACATGCTGTGCGGAGTTTGTTCAGTAAGGCCGCCACCTTAGGGTTCATATATTTCATTACCCACACAGTTTCATCAGCCTCTGCTATTTGTAGAGCTTCTTGAAGGAAACTGACTAGTTCCTGAGTCAGCTTTAGCAGAGGGGGTCTTAAAGCAAGGCAGAAGTTAAGGGCAGTAACCGTCCCAACCTAAATTTAGGAAATAGTTAACTTATGGTTGGTCAAAAAAACAATTAAAGTGAAACAGTAAAAGTGAGAAATGTATTTAGTTTATACCTGTTGCTCCACAGTCTTTGATCGCAGTGGGCGAACTATAAGAGGCTGAAGCAAAGGTTGGTACATTGGTTCAAGCAATTCTGAAACTTCACTACCAGTCCTACTGGCCAAAAGTCCCAAACAAGACTGTACAATCTTCCTCACGTTGATAGACACATTGGGGTTGAACAACTCTGAGGCCAAGTATTCAACAACACCTTGGAAACTCTGCTTGTGTGCTTCATTGTTAGCTTCATCAACATTATTCACCATGCGGAGAACATGCGTAAGCACTTGGCTTGTCTCCTCCTGCTCTTTAGCAGCATGACTAGGAAGCCTCTTGAGAACATAAACCAGACCTCTAACAATTCTAACTTGGAAAAGGCAGAGTGTTTCAACAGTGACCTTTCCCACCAAAGCACCAAGCCCCATGACTCCGCCAATTTGTGCTTGCCAAGTACAACCATAGCAACAATGCAAAAGTCTGGGTAAAAGCTGCTCAAATATAGGTACACGAACACTAG